TTTGGAGAAAAAGCTAGAGAAGCCAGATTGAGATGGTTTGGACATGTGCAGAGGAGAGACAGTGGATACATTGGTAGAAGAATGTTAGAGATGGAGCTACCAGGTAGGAGACAAAGAGGAAGGCCAAAGAGGAGATATATGGATGCAGTGAGGGAGGACATGCAGATAGTTGGAGTCAGAGTAGAAGATACAGAGAACAGAGAGAGATGGAAATCAATGATTCGCTGTGGCAACCCCTGAAAAAAGGGACAAAGCCGAAAGAAAAAGAAGAAGATGGATGAATATAAATATGGATGCATTTTATCACTTATATTTTGCTAAGCACTGTGCTATATTATCTTTGGTTGGCTTTTTCAACCCACAAAATTAACAATTTTAAAAATCTGAAAAAATAGTAAATTTTTAATCAAACTTAAATGGATATCTAATATCCCAGAACTAAAATAACAATAAACAGGTGCTTGGCATGCAAGGAATGTACTAGGCAAAAAAACCATGTTGTTTGGTGCCAAAAATAACCCTCAGGATTCTGCAAAGAAGGAATTCTCTGATGAAAATCATCAATTTTAGCTCTAAATGGTGAAAAACAATATTGTGTGTATTTGTATCAATTATGTATAACTATGTATGATTATGACACAGCCCATTGTATGAGCCATTGTCCTCAACAACATAAATCAGTCTTCAGTTTCTCACAATTTAATTTACTGTTGTGTCAGTCAGCTGTTTATGCTGCATCAAGTGAAGCTGTTCTGACGTGTCTGAAGTTGTAGCCTCCGCTGAATGAAATTTTATCCCTTTGAAAAAAAAAAAAACTAGTATTAAATTTACCATTCAATTTATTTTTCTTGTTTTTTTTTCTTTGTGGGTTTGTTTGTGTGTTTGATGAAACATTAAACACTAAAGGTGTGACCTTTGGCGTAGTAATATAGTATAAATTATTTTAAAGCTCATTTTGTATTGACAAGCAAAATGCAGCGAGACAATTAATTCCATTCACAGGCCACACCACTCCTCCTCCTGCAGGTCGCTCACTTCTCACACTTCCTCCTTCCTCATCATTATGATCAAGAGACTGCTTGTGGGAATAATGAGGGGAAGAAGTGCATCAGCTAAAAATACGAGAGAGAGAGAGAAAATAAATAAATGGCCTACGTGCAGGATGTGCGCACATTCAAATAAGCTTCTATGACATTATCATGGAAATCTGGATCAAAGCTGTGCTGTGCAGGATCAGGAGAGGAAATCCACATGTTCACGCCCTTATGTGTTCAACAAGAGCCAAACAATAATAACATCCATGTGCAATTTCTCAGGTAATTGATAAAATTGCAGCAACCTACAACTAATGTTGCCTTGTTGAAGGACCCATTGGACATCAGGACCATGGATAGCTCTTGTGGTATTATTTTCAGTAATTTACTCTTCTGCATTACATGACTGGCTGATGTGGATGGTGCAGTAGCTTCTGTAGTAGTAGGAGCTTATCAGAGTTATGCTACGAG